AGAGAGAGAGAGAGAGAGAGAGAGAGAGAGAGAGAGAGAGAGAGAGAGAGAGAGAGGTACAAAGAGAAGAAACACAGATTCAGCCTGTATCTATTTATATTTTAAGGAATGTTTACATTTTCACTTTTGCAGCTGAGAAGCATTAATACTTCCCCTCTCACCTTGTGGCAAACATGGCCCTGAGAGACGAGAAGGTGGCGGCATCTTCTTTCAGAGCCTTCAGCTCGTTCCTCAGCTTCATCATGGTCTCTGTCACCATCGTCTTTTCATTCTCGTACTTGCTCTTCAAATTTGCCAGTGCACCCTCTGCTGTCTGCAGTGAGGACAGTGTAACGTTATATTAAAGTACGTTGGTCTCATTCAGATCTCTGACACAAAAAAAGACAATTGATAGGTTTCTTTCTGTTTGCATATGTGGTATATTAAGTACTAAGTAGAATTCTCTTTCACCTGTTTATTGGCCTTCAGCACTAGCCTGAGCGTGGCTATCTGCTCTCTCTTGGTACTGAGCAGGGACTTCAGTTTGAGGATCTCCTCCAAGCACAACTCCTTGTCCTTGTCAAGCATAGGCGCCAGCTCCCTAGCTGCGGCCCTCTGCCTGGACAGCTGCAGCGAGCGGTCCACAGCCCTCTGGAGGTGTTTGATCTGGTCTCTGATGATGGCATTCAGGTTGTAGATGTTCATGGGCTCCTTCCGCAGGTCCCCACCGGCCTCTGAGGGCCCTGGGGATGGGCAAGGAGAGACGGTGATGACTGGGGAGCCCGTGGGGTTGCGGGTGGGGCTGCTGTGACAGGAGTCCACTGTGTTGGTCGTTGTCTCGTTGTGATGGGTGACCCTGGACGGGGAGTCCATGGGACTGCGCGGGGGCTCGGAGGAGCAGGCTGCGGATGCCGCAGCGAGGCGTCGGGCCAGACGAGGCGAGAGCAAAGCCCGATGGTCGTCGGAGCCCTTCAGGCTGCCGTTGCGTGTGACCCGGCTCTGGCGGAAGTAGTCCAGCATGACGCGGTTGGGTGTCTCATTGTTGCACAGACAGACGTGGTGGTAGAGCTGTGCCAGTTCCTCGCTGAAGGTTACCAGCTCATCCTGTGCTGCATTCAGCATGCCCTGGCTCTCTGTGGCTGTGCACGCAGCCGCTCGCAGCTCTGTCTCCAAGCTCGCCACCCTCTCCCCGCTCTCACGATAACTACTCTCCAAATGGGTCACCTGCTTGGAAGAAACGAGTTGGACATTTGCAACATCACAGGGTGCAAAACAACTGAGTTGAGGTTAATATCGTCCAATAAAAACAATGCAGTAATAACAACATACATAAGTAATAACGACAAACCTGTTCACTTAGTGCCGGGAGCCTGTCGTCACCGCGGCTGTCCCCCTGCCCCTCCACGGCCTGGTTGTACTTCTCCTTCAGGGCCTTGAGCTCTGCTTTCAGGTCGATCACCTCTGTCACCGCCACCTTGTACTTGCACTCCAGGATCTCGAAGCCGTGGATATCGGGATCATGGTGACCATTGGCTGGTGGTGAGAAGGAGCCGCCGTCAGGTTTCTCACTCTCCTGTGGGTCATCGAGCTCTTTGCCTCCATTGAGACATTTCAAGCCGTTGACGTGCTCCGTGAGGCGATGGACCCTCTCATTCTGCTCGGTCAGGGCACCCTGAGTGTGCTGCAGCTGGGTTTGCGACTCCTGCAGGTTCATGAGCAGCGTCGACTTCTCGCGCTCCACCTGCAGGACAGGAGACACATGAGAGGCAGTCAAGACAGTGAGGGAAGAATGCTGCATATATATGTTTGATGAGACATGTTCATGAAACCTAAGTCCAAGGCCTTTATATATTCTTATATAATACCGCATTAATGTGTTAACAGATCAAAGTTATTCAACCTGCAGCATTATTTAGGGGCCACTGATAAAAGCTACAGAATAGCAGGACTCAGTTACGCAAATGTGCAATCAGTACGACCTGCATAACTCAGATAAAGATACTGTTCCATGCAGCCATCATTATTAGGCAGCAAGTGAACAAACACAAGCAAATCATGGACTAACAATGTATTGTATCAGTTGACCTGCATTTCCGACTGTACAAAGGTATGTAGTGCGGGTTGCTTGACTCAAAAAATGTTAGTGAAGACATCGGGAACTAAAATGAGTTAGCTGTTTAGTTGCTTCTTGTGGAGTGTGCTCCCCCCGCGCTGAAAGGGTAAAACTTTATTGATCCATCTCTTCGATTGCCGAAGTACAATACAAGTGATTGTATGTTCTTTATATATTGAGAAAGAAAAATCAACTGGAAAATTAGAAGCCTGATGCTGCTGGCGTTTAACATCCTTACCAGAATAACCTACTTGAAAGAGAAAATTAATTAGTGAGTAATTGCGTTGACGGAGAAAGCCCCACTGCTAATATAGCAGCCATTAATCTAATTGTGTATTTCCCTGAGGAGCTCAGCGAGGGGCAAAAATGAACAGTAATGACTTGATTCGATTTCAGCATGAATCTGATCTACCTTTGATTTTTATGTATTCCTCTTGTGAGAGGTGCCTGTTCATGAGTGTGTGTTGCACTCGGGTGAGAAATACAGTATACTTTATTATATGAACCCTATATTTATACTCTGTTCATGGAAATAGCTTCTCACAATGCTAAGTTTGAGCTAATTGTGAAATATATAAACGAACGGTGCCTGTGGACAAAAAAATTTGTATGATATTTTCTCTCCTTCTTTGGGTGTCACTTCCCAGTTAGGCCTCTATGTCTGTCCCCTTGTCTCTAAAGCAAAAGCAGAATATAGTCAGTTTCTGTCTCTGTATCTGCTCTCTGTGCCTGTTGGATGCTAATCACCCTGACAGGGCTCCCTATGGCACACGCAACTGCGCTGCCTCTACTGCTCAACGTGTTTTGCTGTGCTGTGTTTCAGCTTCATCACTCCCACTACGACATTAGCGCATATGAGAGCATACATACATTATAACACATGATATGCAGTTCATCTGGGCATGGACATAGGCTCTTGTCGCAATCTCTAACTATGTGTGGTCTTTCGCTTTCAAAACAACGAATGAATATGTGTTTCAGCTGATGCTGGACAAGTGATAAGACGACTCATTCTCTCCACTGAAAACTGTGGATCAATACAGCTAGTGTTGTAAAGTGCTGTGGGCTGCAGTGAATGGCCTTGGGGTTAGCGGTGGTTGCAGCTTTAAAGCGACTAAAATCTTCCAGACAGTAACTCGACACACAACCAATATGACGTTCAAGTGGCGTCAGTGCTGACCTTGAAGATAACGTTCAATGATACGAAAGGGCTGAACAAAACACGCGTCAACACTGGTGGTTTTACTCGGGTTATTCTGGGTCATTTAATTTACTGTGTAATTTATTGCTATATTTTCTTTAGACCCACCTGCAGAAGCTGCTGTTTGAGCTTCTGCATCTCCGACAGGTTGAGCTCACTGAACAGGTCTGGCACGGGGTGCAGGCCTTCTCCTTTCCTGCCCGGTCGGTAGTCCCCGTTCATCTTAGCCGATCCGGTGCCTGCGTGAACGTGGCCGTTGCGGCGATTGCTGTCCTCATTGTTGCCGTTCGCAGCAGGGATGGCGCTGCCGTTGGTGCCGTGGGTCTCCTCGGGGAACTTGAGGCCCTCAACGCCAGTGACAGTGAGCGCCAGATGGGCCCCTGCTCCGTAGACACTGTCGCTCAGGCTGATGTGGTGGGCCAGTTCCTTCCTCAGATTGTTCTTCTGCTCACGCTCACTCTTGAGGGCATCCAAGGCCTCCTCCAACTGACCCTCAGAAATGTCCTTCAGACGTAACGCGTCTCCCAGCTGACTGTTGAGCAGAACAGTCTCCTCCTCTAGTACCTTGATTTCATGTTTCAGTCCCTCGTACTCCACCTGAGGAACAGCAGGAACAGGATAGAAAGAACAGACAACATTTAATTGAAATACTTAATTACATTCTAAAGCATTCTGTCTGTAAGGATTTGATGGCCCAATCCTTGGTCACACCGGAGGGGACGCAAGGAAGGTGTGAGTAAAACAAATTAGCAGCAGACAAGTTAAGAAATGAAATTAATTAAGTGTTTTTTTCCCCCTTTAAACTCTTTGTTTAAAAATTGAAAATATTTTTAGAGCCAGGTGACTTAAACCAAACACCAAACTTCTTTTGACTCAGTATTCTGTGACAACATAGTATTTTGGTTATGAATTGTGGTTTCATGCAATATTCAATCTAAAAACAAGCTTGATGATGTGGTAAAATAAAATAAATTGTACAAAGCAGGTAAAGGCTTTTGTTTTCACACCTGTCACTTATTTAGATGTAATCTTTACAGTAAGATCAACAATATCAAAGTCTTACATCACAACACATGATATATGACGTTAATCTTCTCCAGCACAGGTATTGGAGAGAAAGTGAATAAAGCCCACACAGACACAGTATGACTGTGTAATTGGACAAGGGATACTGCAGCACCTTAAGGCAAATAAAGGATGATGAGCAACACACTGAGAGCGCTGTTTGACTCAGTGCATCCTGGAACTAAAACCATAAAGGGGACCACATTCCAAGGTGGTTTTGGAAGTGATTTCGGAAACTGAGCGTGAGCCATTCATCTCCACTGAGAAGGGGCTTGGCGTCACATCATTGAAGGCGATGACACATCTGCATGAGGCAGATTTGCTGTTGTGGGGTGTTATTGAGAAGTTAGTCGAATGAGTTGATACTAACCTGGCTCTGCTTGAGCGTAGACACCAGTTTCTGCAGCGTGATGTTCTCCTCCTCCAGCTCTGTGTAATCCTGAAGCAGTCTGGTCTCTCTGAACTTGTACTCCTTGATCTCTTCCCTCATCCGGCTCCTCTGTAGCTCCAGCATCTCATTACTCTGAAACAAAGAAAAACGGGATGTAAAAAAGAAAAGCAGGGGGAGAGAGATGGGTTCAATGAGGAGGAAACAAGACTGGAAGTCAGTTTATAACCTAAATCTATGCTATAACTGACACATAGTTTGTTCACAGAAAGTATTATTACTGGTACATACTTATTGTCAACACTAGAGTCTCAGACCCATACTGTACATACTTCTCTCTGATAGCACGAAGATAATGTTGGTATCTGACTATATGGCTTCGACATGTGCTGTGGAACAAAGAGCCAGGCCTTCCCTTTTGCAAGCAAAGGTTTCATCCTGATTGTAGTTTGATGAGCACCAAACCCCCCAACTCTGGAGAAATTCACATTAGGGTGTGAGTTTCCTCCCCCCAAAAACTATGCGTTCTTGAAGTTACCTGAAAGCAGCGCTGCAATCTAATTGGCCGAGGGCCACGACACCCCAGGACCCCTGTGGTTCAGCCACTGTTCTACAAAACTACCTGCAACCCCCACCTCAATGCTTTTCCCCTTCGACCTCCGTCGAGCTAGGGAGCACACCAACGTTGTTTCCCTTTTCAACCAAATCCTAGGTCTAACAGTTTATATTCGCTGGCCGAATTCACCAAACTGTCTATTTTATCTTTGTTCGTATCCACGAAGCAAACCCTTTCATTCCTGCAGAAGTGAAGAAGCAAGACTTCTTCAGAGAGAGAGAGAGAACTTCCACTCTCCACCAAGCGCCTCGTTTGCTCCGGACATAAGGACGCGAGAAGCCCTTATACAGACGACAGTGATTCTCTCCCACCGAGAGAACACCTCCCGCGGCACGCAGCCGCGCTGCCTGGGCCCAACGAAGCTCAGAAGAACCCCTCAGAAGAACCCCCCCTCAATCACCATGATTGCATCGTACCGTAAGGCGAACTAGAGTCTGGGCAGAGTTAGAGAGAGTTCATTTGTGTTTGTTTTATCTTGTTTGTGTGCTTAAAGTACTGTTCATTTTTATAACCTGGTGTATGCTTAATAATCGCCGACACTAACGGTCTCTGAGATCGTTGGGGTTGTGGAGAAGCTAGTGTATTTCATGCTACCGTGATCTGTGTTGAGCTGGCCGCCTGGTCGCCTGGTGAGGTCGAAGTTGCTTCTCATCAGTTCAGGAGGTCAGAACCGCCGGCTGAGACAAAGAGTCGCGGTTCTTGCTCCCCTGGCTGAGAGAGCAATCTTCCGTACTCCCGCGCGGAGCAGAGGATCTTAATCTTTTGTTTTATTTCATTTTGTTTTGTTCCTTTCCCTTCTCTTTTACTAATCCACACACACACACACACACACACATATAGCTTTGAGCTAATCTAGCTACGTGCTAAACGGCTACCGGCACTAGACGCCGGGTCTCCTGTTGGCTATCCGCCATTTTGAGTCTCACGCATGAGAGACGTCGCCATGTCCCAACTACGTCATACGTCGCTGAGCTGTTCCCTCGCTCCTCCCCCTTACGCACACACACACACACACACACACACACACACACACACACACACACACACACACACACACACACACACACACACACACACACTTCCCCCCCTCCTCTTTTCAATAGTCTGTTGATTTTAGACAGCGTGCTCATGAATGTATAGTTGTTAGTTTAATAGTTGACTAGATCATTAGTATTAGAACGTAATACACTCTGTTATATTTTAAAGAGCAGCTGTCTGTGATTACTTTGTGCATGTGTATTGTGATAATAGCTGATATGTGGTCTGTGCTCGAACTTAAACCTTCACTTTCACTCTGAATGTGTAATAGTACTCAGACTGTTGACATTGCGAGTGAACAATAATTATGAGACTTAGTTTTATCGTTTGGTTATTGGTCCCTGTTTGCAGGGTGGTGCCCCGTTATTATTAATAATCATTAATAATTGTTACTGACATTAATAATTCTTTTGATGTCAAGAATTTAGTTTCTTAGATGCTGATAACCCAAACACGCTCCTTTACGTTCCCTACATATTGGTGCCCCCTTTTTGAGGCTATGTTATTCCCAACAATAAAAAAGTTTATCAAACAATTTCATTATCTTAAATGCAATGAGTCAGCACGTTCAGACTCTCAGAAATATCCTTATTGCTGAGCATGGATAGAAACATGAGCATCTGCTGGACCAGATAAAGTATCGGTGAGAGGAATGCACCGGCCACAGAAGTCATAAATCTAAGTAGTAGTACTGGGAATATATTGAGACCTCAGCAAATCCATCTCTCCCACACAACTCCTACTTGTAAGTTTTATTCCAAGGAATAGGGAGACGGATGAATATCCTCTCCACTAGCTTCAAAAGAACTGACCCTGTTGAGATACTTAGTTACTTGTTGACAGGGGTGGTGTAAGAGGGTTCATCTCTTTATTTTCTCAGACCAGTTCACTTTGAATGCATTACTTTATTTTTACAGTGGTAAGACAATTGATCTCCTGTATTTAACAAAAATGAAGGATATTATTATTGTATTACATTGCTGCACCCTCATGACAAGCAGATTAGGAATGATGGCCTTATGTTTTAAACACAGACATGAGTAAATGTGTCCAGTACAACAGGACTGAAGCGATGTATTAAGTATGGAAAATAATGAACAATTTATCGTATGCATGCTCATGTGTGTCTCACTGCAGAGCTGCCTGCAGCTCTCAGCGCATATGGCAGAAGTGCTGACCCAGAGATAGTGTCAGGAGTGGGAGGGTAAACACACAGGAGGAAGACAATCGGAGACCTGAGACACATGGCCTCTTCTGTGCTTTGACCCTCCAGAACTTCTTAATGCATGTGTGCTTTCAGATCTAGCAACTGGACTGAAACTAGAGACCATTATGATACACTGAATCTTTTGATTTGTACTGCAGCTGACAGCAGCTCCTATAGTTTCAGAGCTAATGGAGCCTCAACTGCAAAGTGCATAGAAGTACAGTATGACTGCACAGAGAACACTTTTATAAGAACCCAGAAAAACAAAACAGAACCCAAATGACATTTTAAGAACAAACCTTATGAGCATAAATAACAAAACATACAATAACACATGTGGATGACGTATTATTGATTATAATGATCTTTCCTTGGGACTTCTTGTCCAGTTACATATTCATGACAGTGCAGGGAATTACACTGAGCCGGGTATGAAGTGGACTGGATTAGAGGCCAATTGTCAGTCAGTGGGCCTCTATAGAAGCGTGGCTGATCAGATGCCGGGGGTCAGGGACAGTGCGGCACACAATACTGGCAATGAGCCCGCCCACAGGGCAGAGCCGGGCAACTCACCCCTGATCGGGGCTTCACAGCACAGACTGTGACTGTGACAGCTTTATTGGATTCATGATACAATGGCAAATATGGCAGAGGTCCAGCAATGTTGGAGTCATTCATCATTACCGCCATTGTTGCTGCGGTAATGGGGAATAAATCCAAAATGTTAACATGGAGAATAAGTATACAGTAATATGACTTTTTGAAAGTTTAGAGATTTTTTTATGAGAATAGTCAGAAGACAAGATAAACTGTAGGTGGTTACCGCATACACGTTTCTTAATCCTTTCATGTTCTGACTTAAAACTGCAGGCTAAACACAGCAAATGAAAACTTTCTCTGGCAGTAAGTAAAACCATTTTCCATTAATTATTTCTTGATGAATCTGTATATGTTGATAGTGTTTGTGAAAGATTGTTTGGAACCCTTTGATTAGACCCCCAGTGCGGCTGCAACAGCTGCCTCTCGTGACGAAAAGGCAACTCCTCCTCATTAGGGCATCGCGTATGCAAATGAGGATTTCAAAGAGAGCCAAAAGCCATTGATGAACACATCATCAAAGAGCCATGATCGCGAAGCAAACCGTTGACAGGTGTGTGTGTGTGTAAAGAAGAGCAACCAGTCGTGAATATCTCGACCACGCTCATCAGTTAGTTAGCTGCCCAATTGAAAATATTATGCTACATAATGCGGAATATCCATGACTACTTTACCTGTTGTGTATGACGTTACTCTGCTTATATTTAAACTAACATATGTGTCATGTTCAGAAATGACGTGCAGAGGGTAAGAACGCGACCTGACGACACTCCCTGATGAATATAATGAATGAGAGTGTGTGTCCTGTGGGTGTAGTGCTGGTTGTTAGATGAGAGCAGCGTGGCTCACTCTGGCCCGACACATGTGCCGAGCTCAGGGCATTTTACTTAGTCCCCAGCTTAGCACCGGATTTGCCCGCCACAATGGGGTCGTGGCCGCAGTGTCTGACCCCAGCTCGAACTCCTGTGCTGCCCGACACAGTGGCTGCAGACATGTATGAATGCATAAGTGCACGCTTCGCGTGTACGCACATGCATATTGTTTTGTCTGTGTCAGGTTTGATCCCCTTTGTGCCATTGTGACCGTTTGGCCTTGTGTAAGTTAATGTACAGTAAATCATAAGAATGTGGAAAATATGAAAGATGCAGAAACAGAAATGTTTGTTGTACTTTGCTGACAATCCTGATTTAACTTTTTCTTATTTCTGGGATACAAGATGCAGCCGGTGACAAATTATCTTTTACTCAAACACAACAACCACCAAACCTCTATGCAACTACAGCGCATATTGCACTTCTCACATTTACAGCTTTTCCCCATTATAGTTGAAGTGTTCCCAGGGGGTTTTACTATATTACTATCTATACAAAAAAACATCTTCATGCCGTTTTCTCGCATATAGAATATTCCTGACTTCTTGTGTTTTTCTTCGTCTACCATGAACGGATGAATGCTCTGCAGAAGCTGCACTCTGTGACTGTTGACCAGCTCACCTCTCGTAGGTCCTGCGTGAGTGCGTTGAGCCTCTCGTCCTCGGCCTGGGCGTTGGACGCCACAGAGCGGCTGAGTGTCACCTCCGTTTGCAGCACCAGAATACGCCCCATGTAGTAGGCCTCCTTGGAGGCCGACTCCTGCAGCAACGTCTCCTCATTGGTCTCCCCATCCTCCGCCACCTTACGCTGGTTGCTGTAAGCCTGGCCGAACGCCTGGAGAGGAAGAAAAGAAGGGGCAGAGTAAAAGCAATGCAATAATGATATAATTATATATATATATATATATATATATAATCTTTGTAAGGACCAACAAATATCTTTTGCGAAGTAAAAATTGAAGTGACACTGATCCAAATCCTGTCATATAATATAAACATCCTAATCCATGTGAGGGATTTGCGCCCACTGGCATGTACAGTAAAGCCAGCACATCTCTCACAGTTATGGCCACTCGGCATTCTCCTGCTGTACTTTTGACCACCGGCAGCACTAGCAGAGTACGTGCGGAGGCTATCCCTCAAGGATACCTGCTCTCTGTCTATGTGGGATGATGTTTCGCTGTGATCAATAGACACACTGTTCCCATTTTCCTGACACAGGTTTTCACGGCACTGAGAGCTGACTTGTCATGATAAAGGAGCCAAGGCTTGATTGAGAAAATCAAAGCACGCATCAACAGCAACACAGGCCTCTCATTCTAGGGCCGACCGTACCACACTAGTGGTGTAACAAATGCGCAAAAACTTCAGTTGCATGGACCAACAAGTGAAATTTAGAGATATACTGCCTTTGGTGGTTCAATAAATACTATGAACCATCCTTCAGTTTCTCAGCAGATCAGCACGAAAAAGTGGTTCTGTTGCACACAGCAGCCCCTCAGAGAGATAATGGATCAATACTGCTGTCTCAGACAACTATTTTTATGGTTTACAATTGCCACATGAAACTGTAAACAATTCAGCATGTATAGTTATTATTTGTGAACAGTTAACCGCCCTAATTGTCAATGCAGCCTAAATCACAAGGGAGCCGTATATTTTGGACTAGAGTATTAATAATTCACAAAGAGCCTTCCCAAACCCAACTCAACATAATAACAAGTGTTTCTCTGTTTCTCTCCGGGATGAATCACTTATAAGGTATACAAGCGTCTGTTATTTGGAGAAGACGTGAGCTCCAGTGTGCAGCTGTCTTTGCTTCCCGCTGCGCTATTATAGTCATTTTTCATTTTTCTATTAACGTTCATGATTCATGAGTGAACTTGACTGCTTTATTAAGTAAGCAGCGTGGAGTTCGCTGAGGTCTTATTGTGAGGCTGGGGGTCATTTATTACAGCCAGAAATCTACTTGGAGTAAATAGAGCACGGGCTTAGAGAGGAGCTGAATGTTCAGCCATTATGATGATAAGTTATGAGTCCATGTTGCTGCTAAAAACATTGGTGTGTAGTTCTGTGTGAATGGATGAGATGAGCTGATTTACCAGCAGTGAGATTTTAATGTCCCCTAATTAGCTTAATTGACCACCTGCCCCTGTCACATCTGGCCTGCTGTTTGAATACTCTTCACCAGCAGAGCAACACTAAATGCTGGTTACACAATAGATCTATCAACACTGTCCCGTCGTAATGATTGCAGATATGGTCAAACAGCTCAAATAATTTAAAATGACACACACACATTTTTTCCATTCTCTAATATAAACTCATCATTGAATGATTTTTACATATGATTACATTTACTTGCTGTAAATCTGGTAATTAATGCACTTTATTCAGAAAGGCACTGATATTTATTCTAATTCAACAGACCCTTTTATTTTCAACAGTAATAATCAGTCCACTAACGGCTGTAAATACACAACATATTTCACCCTCGACCACAAAAACTATCCTCAAGGACTTGCTTTATAATGACTAGAAAGCCCTCATGCAAAAATACTGTATTTTAATCGTCTCCATTCCCTCTCTGACGGCATCTCTTTTATTTCTCGCTCTCTTTCACACTCTCTTGTTCACTTGCCCTCTCGAGCTCTCGGGGGAGGCACAGTGTGATTGTAGTGAGCGATTACGAGGGAGGGCCTCAAGAACAAAAAAGCTGATTAATTCCGAGCACAGTGTGACTGAATGAGCTCACATTCTCGCATCAGTTAGGAGGCTGTCAACGTCCGAGCAGGCCTCACAGCAACAGCTGAGCCCTGCAGGGGGACAAGCAAAAAAAATCTGTACCCACAGGGTCCAGCGGTTGGATTTCTAGTATCATGAAATTGAAGACGAAAGCAAAGATGTACACTTACTGTAGTGACTGGGGGCCAATTCAAAACAGAAAAGGCTGGCTATTGTTTAAACTATTTTGGTTTAGTTTGAGGAATACAAACATATCTTTAGCAAAATATGCCAAACTTCTTATTGCAGAAGTGTATTCTTAGTCAATGTATTGTTGAGAGAAAGATTGACACTAAGCCTGCAGCCAGTTAGCTTAGCATAACAACTGATAGCAGGGAGAAACAGATAGCCTTGCTCTGTCCAAAGATAACAAAATACACCAAATCTCACAAATGAATAAGTTATATCTCATCTCTTTAGTTACAAATTCTTAAGTGTATTTGCAGGATTATTTCTTGACAGGGAGGAATGACCTCCTGAAGTCTTCCTGAAGGGAACTTGCCAGGCAACTAGCGGGTACTTCAAAAAGTTGCTGCTCTCGACCAACAAATAGTCTGGCACAGAACCCCCCGTAAAACCACAACTGGTTGTTTTTTTGTACTGATGAAACAAATTTGATACAAAGTGAAGCACAATGAATTTCCTTTGGACAGAGCCAGGCTCGCTTCCTGTTTATGATAAGCTAATCTATCATAAACAGGATATTTCACAAAATGTCTAACAAAATGAAATGCATGACTTAGTTCAGGATATACACATTTCATTCAGTATTTCGGCCTGATAAACATGCCAGCTGACGAAAAGGCCGAACAGCAGACACACCGACACAAGAACCATCGCAGTTGCAGGTCGTGATTCAGCAGCAACTCATCCACGGAGAATGGCTGGGTCCTCGATGCATAGGGAGAAGCAGATGGTTTCATAACAACCCGCCTCCATGGGCTGAGCCGCGCTCCTCGAAACTCCGCTCACTCCATCTGCCCGCTGCTCCTCTTAAAGGAAGTGAGCGACACCGATGGCTGAGGCTCAACATTCGCACATAAAGGAGCACACAGTATGCTCCGGCCCTCCTGACGCTGGTGCGCCATAGTTTCAGGGTAGGCTAAAAATAACACTGTGACAGCTCTGCATTTTTCAGGCTAATTGCATGAATGTCACTATACAATACATCCATCATTATAATGATGGATCTGCATTGGACCTGTATCTGTGACCTAATTGACAAAATAACACAGTTCCTCAAGCCAGATAACATGTAAACAACAGTGCGGAAGATTATATTTTAATACAATTTCCTCAGGACGATTTTAAGATGGAGTCCCTAATTGGCAGCCTGCTCCTTTTTGTGTACTGAAAAAACCCCATAATGCATTCAACCTTGAGGCTCCTCGGCCTTCTGTGCCTCAGTGGATAAAGTCCGAACAATAGAGTCCCCCTCTATAGATATTCATCCCTGGGGCCAGGGAAAGAGGAGGAGACAGAGGGAACAAACCAACCGCTGCACTAGTGTGAGTGGAGGAGTGTGTGCAACCCTGAAATCCTTCCCTGTATGTTGCAGCTCCTAATTAGGAGTCAAGGGAGGACCCGTCAGTGTGCGTATATACACCAGAAGTCTATTTTTATACCCAATAGGGAGAAGAAGAGTGAACTATTTCTACATTAGCAATTAATCTCCAAACTATCAGGATTAAGTGGACGTACCAGGTCTTCCTCGTTGAAAATCACTGTAAAAACAAGTTTATTCATAGGACTCTTAACATAGCAAGGGGTCTAGACTTGATTACATTTTCAAGGTCAGAGATCAAATATGAACACAGGCAATAATAACTTCTATTTATGTTCCCTTGTGTAATTTAGTTCTAATTTATGTGGATTTTAAGTAAAATTGAGGATTTAAATTGTACAATGATAGATGTGGTTTGAAATCGACTAGTTATATTTGTTGTGTACATTGATATTTTATGAAAGTACAAGTTAGGAAATGTGACACTTTTATTGCTCAATTTGAGACAGAACAGCCTTTAATCTGGATCACAAGCTTGATTCAAATATCAACCAAAAGCTGTCTTGCCGAGCTCTAATCTGTCTGCTACAACATCATTTTGATAAGTTATGGGGAAGCAGAATTCAGGGTATTAGTCAACTCATGGGAGGGAAAATTACAATGAAAAACTCCAACATACACTATCAGACACACACACACACACACACACTGTGGTTTGCTGTCCAGATGGTCGGCCCAGCCAACCACATTTCAGTACCATGGAGAGAGACATGCAGCGTCATGAAGAGAACTGTGTGTGAGGCAGGGTGAGGGCAGACAGATTGTTTCTCGCCGCAGCATGTCATTCACATACTTGATGATCAGTTGTAAAGCATGCAGCGCCACCTTCACAATTCTTTGAGATCAAGCCAAATAATCCATTAAAATAAAAAAAATAAAAATGGACCAGCAGGAACAAAACTACCAGAATGAAGCTCATAAATAATCGCAGAAGAACAGCATGAAGAGCATTACAAATGGAGGAGAAGCAACATGCGATCTGTCAACTTCCAGTCTCAACAAGACAACACATACAAACGCACATCAGCCTGAGGAGAGTGGAGAAAACACGAACCCACAAGATTACGTTTGACTGCAGTGCACAAGTCTGGGGAAGTAAACAAAATGGTAGAACGGGAGGAAAAAGTAACTAACCCTAACCCTAACTCCTGATGCAGGTTTTTAATTAAAATGACTCGAGTCCAAGCTGAGATAACCCTGATGACATCACAATGACATCACCTGACAAGCTCCCTGACAGCACCACAGAAAATATTATTGAAGGAAGTTTTGTACACACAATTCCTTTTCCATTTAGTAAATGAAGTATCCTAAATAAATGTGCACTTGTGTGATGTACATAAAACCCATATCCATGTTGAGCCACTGCTGAAGCAGGTTTATGGGATATATCGAGGACAAGGACACAGAAACGTCCCTTTGTGCTTCTCAGCCACCGGGGGAAAGTGCCAAGTCAAGAGATCTGTCATCTATAAAAACACACAAGC